ATGAAAAAAAAGTTCACCCGAAAATTTGTTACTCGCCCATAGTAAAACCATGGAAACCAAAAGTGAAAAGTGAACCGGTTCAGGGAAAATGAAACTCATGATAAGGCTGTATGCCAAAATTTAAAAGTGGATTAAACCCGATTCGAAGATCGGTGATGCCAAACCAAAAATTCTACACTAGGTTTGAGTTTATGCCTATAAAAAAAACGCTTTGATAACACAGCTCAACAAAACTGCATGCGGCAAAACTGCTATTGGTTTTTTTTTAATTTTTTCCGTAGAATCCGAATTTGTCCACCAAATTATTTAATTGGCTCTAGCTTTTTAGAGGCACGTATTTGGGATTTAAAGTGTCAAAACTCAATTTTGTTTTAATGTTTTGAACTCCTGTAGAAAGGCATAGACGTCGAATAAATTCTTTTGAACAGTACAAAATAGAAGCTGAAATATTTACCTTTGAGCTTCAAAGGCTTGTTTCCAAAAATAACAATTTTATTGTTTGATCAAATTCCTTGATTCAAATTCCTTTCTCTTTTAGAAGCTCAATTTACCTGTCAAATGTTTCGAATTTTTTTAATAATTTTAGAAATGTAAGTACATACATATGTATGTATGTCCTTGTGGTCATTCACTCCAAAACTCACTCGAAAAATAAAATAAATAAATTGGACATTTTATCATATCTTTTATTTTTTCGTTATTAGAATTGGAGACTTGCTAAGACAATTAAAAAAAAATAAATGGTATCGATGTGATATAATTTATGATTTTTCAGGGTGCATTCGCCACATTTTTGAATACAAAATTTTTATAAAAAAAAAATGTTTTTTGACTATTGTTTGGGTAACATAATTTCTCATCTCTTGTGATAAAGGGGCGACACTTACGCTTTCTTTTTATGCTGCTCAAAAGATTTCACACTGCATCCTTATTCTACTACAAAAGATAAAAATTGCAAAATATTCCATTTAAGAAACTTTAATCCCGTATATCTCGAAAACTAGAGCTAAACAATAATTTTAAGGCCAGATTCTTAAACTACGAAAAAAATCCTTTAGGAATCGGTTCTTAAAAGCAGTGCCGCAAAATTTTGTTGGCTAGTGTTTTTAATAGATAATAGTAAGAGTGACCATCATGGGTTAAGAGTTATTTTTGAGAGCATAGCCGGAAAATATTTTTATTTTTATTTTTTTTTTTTAGAAAAAAAAAATTAGTTGTAAAAAATTGCGATTTTTCGGAAATGATTAAAAAAAAATTTTACGAATTATATTGCTGTGTTACATAAGAGGCGGGAAAAATTCGTTATTTTGATTTCTTGGTAATTTTTATTGCATTTTTTTTTTTGTAAATTCAATCATTTTTATTTGTGCGTTCGTAGTTGATCAAACAATATATTTTTTGTGTTTAAATTTTGTGGATTGTAATTGATCGTTATTTACAGATGTCATTCATAGTAATTCTAAAAACACAAATGCGTTTGAGTAATTTCAAACTAAATTTGGCGATTAAACAGCATCAACAGGTTATACAACTTTGATAAAATTAAGAAATTTAAACATTTTTTCGCTTACAAAATTCTTCATATTTTGAAAAGTATTTTAAGCGCTTCCGAAATGCCAAGTACTTTGGAATTTACAGCAGTTAGAAGTAAGTGTGGAGGAAAGGCGCTGAAAGGAGGTAAATATTCTTTTGCGTTTTTCTCGAAACTAATTTTTTCAAACTGGTGTACACGTTCTATTGAACAATTTTATCCAATTTTTTGGTTCGATGTTCTATTCTTAAGTTATGAAATTAATTTACTAAACATTTTCATGAAAATTCATGTCGTTTTCTTCATGATACAAATATAGTAAGGTAGAACCGCTGAGAGTCACTTTTCTTGACGTTTCCAAACAACCCAATAAACATTGGGCTTGGTTAGCAATTCGAAACTGATTGGAAAACCAATCTTTTTTTCGAGTCTTACCTTCGATAGCGAATGTGCAATAGGTTAGTATTCGATTCGAGAACTAAGGCATTCTCCAGCAAAACGGCACCTTCGTTATCCAATGTATTTTCCCTTCATTATGAATTCGAAATCCAGCCCATTATCGAATTGAAATTTTATTGTGAGAGAGCGATTGTCTTATATTTTCCATCGAGAATGAGCTGGATTTCACTTTCTCTCTTGTTACTATGGTTTTAATTTTTTTTCGAACCCATTTCGAGTATATTTAAAATTTACTCTGAACGTTGGAAAACCAAGGTTGGTTATAAGTTCGTTCTCAGTTCGATATGCACATTGGATATCGAAGGTACTTTTCGAACGTTCAACCAAAAAGTTTATGGGGAATTTAATTTTTAAATTTACTCACAAACTCACACACACATTTTCATTTTCAATCTCAAGCAACAACAATTTTGAACAATTTAAATTTTTTATTTTCACTTTTATATGATTTTAAAATGTTGGAAAACTTCAAAAAAAAAAATTATGGCCGATCATGGAACTTGAGAGAACGGTTCTACCTTGCTACGTTTTTATCATGGCTTTCTTTAACCTACTGTCGTTTTTGCAAATAAAATTTTAAAATCTATGTTCCTGCTTAGCGCTATAGCTACTGCCTTCTTCGATAAGACATTTTTTTGTAATTTGTACACCATCTGGAAAAGAGGCGGCTAGTGTATGACTCCTATATGCGTAACTTTTATTTTTTTTATGGAAATTATTCTTAAAAATTATATGCATGTATATGTATATAGCTTAATTCACAAATGCCAACCAACAAATTTTATATTTTACAGGAGAAGCAAAAGCATTATAAAAAAGAGTATAAAAAACAGGTAGGGCTTTTTAAAAGGTGGCATGTAACTACGTTGTTTTTGGTATTAGCACTTTAAAACTTTCATTGAAGGTGTATTTGAATACATCCTACCAAAATCTGTAAAAAACGCAGTTTCGAAAAAAAGTTGGTTAGGAACTTTCGTGAATTAAGGTAACAATATGTACTTTACGCATGTATGTGAAATAAAAATGTTTTTCATAAACTTCACATCTGTGTCATATCAGAAAAAAAATAATAATTTTTAGCCTTTTTTTCGTCCGTCAGTTATTAACTTACACTTTTTTAAACCCTTTGCCAATATAAATACTTTGAATGTTGGAAAACTAAGGTTGGTTATAATATCGATTTCAGTACAATATTCATATTGGCTATCGAAGGTAATTTTCGAACGTTCGCCGCAATGGAATGTGACTATGAAATTTGGTAATTAAGTTGATTTTAAAATTATTAATATTCACAACTTTATTATTGTATGTGCCAAAAAAATTTAACATCTAAATAGTTTATGTAGTCAAGTAAGCGCATTTACTCATTCAAACCCATAAATAATTTTTTTGGTTTTCACTGTTTTGAATTAATCGAATATTTAACTAAACATATTTTTAGGCGTTTTAACTTTCTCATGCCGTACAAAATCTACTTCATACTAATACTACATACATATTTCAAATTAAGAACATACTATTTTTTCCCCTGGCCATATTCAGCATGATTGTCATTTTTGTGCTCCTTCTCCATTTGGCCATCAACATCCGGCTCATCTTGCTTTTCCCTCTCCAACAATTCTCTACTGCTACTTCTTGTCAACATTTGTGTTGTTTTTTGTATGGTTTCAATTTTCTGTTGCAAATATTCCTTTCGACGTTCTTCGGCCTTCTCGAGTTTCTCCTCTAAATTTTGTAAATTAACAGCGGTCGCTTCATTTTCTGCCGCTTGCTCTATTAGCTCTTGTATACGCTTGGGCGGTTGTTTTTTCACAGTCGCTGCGAGTAAATCCTTTGCTTCTGGCGCATCAGCGGTGTACACTTTTGTTTCGACCGCGTCGTTCAGTGGTATGATGAATGCTTCTGAAGCGGCTGTGGTAAGTGGGTGGAAGGCAAATTTAACGATTTAGTTTCACTTTTTGCATCATAAGAAGTTAAAAATATTTAAAAGTGGTAGGGGTACTCTCTTAAGCTTAGTATATAGCTTTCAAGAAAAAGGAATAATTCGTTTAAAATGACGTCGAATAAATTTAAAAGAAATTATCAGAATCAGTTGGAATCAGTTTACACCTCGCAAGAAAAAAATGCTCGTGTATATACAGTGGCGTTCACCTAAATAGCACACTTTTAATTTTCACAATATTCACAATGTTTTACGTGATCGATTTTTTTTTTTGTTAATTTTTATAAAAATATAGTAGATTCTATAACATAAACCTTATAAGTAAAAGTTTAAAAGTTTGTGCACAGTTCAGGAGAATTTAACAAATGTCATCAAAATTTCCAATTTTTTTTTTTTAAGAATTTTTAGAAATATGTTGTATGTAGTTTTGTAGCCCATTTTATTTTAGTATAATAATCTGCAGGTTTGAAAATTCTAAAAAATCCCTATGATTTTTGAGGTTTGTTTGTCGAAGGTGTAGCGCATTTTCTCCCATATAACGTATGAACAAAATCTATTTTATTTTATTTATATGGAAGAAAATACGCAACACCCTCGACAAAAAAAGAATCTCAAAAATGCACGAGATTTTTCAGAATTTTCAAACCTGCACTGTATACCCAATATGTTTCTAAAAATTCTGAAAAAAAAAAATTTGAAAATTTTGATGAAATTTGTTAATTTTCCTGAACTGTTTCTAAAAAATCTGAAAAAGAGTTGAAAATATAGATGCAGTTTTTTTGATATTCGTAAAATTTTTCTGAACTGTGCACGAAGTTTAAAACTTTGACTTATGTATGTAGTTTATGTTATAGAATCTACTATAATTTTGTAAAAAAAACTTACGAAAAAATTTATCACGTAAATCATTGAAAATATTGTAAAAAATTAAAGTGTGCTATTTAGGTGAGCGCCACTATATATATGTATTTCTTCAAGAAAAATTACTAAAAAAGCTCACAAACTTGAGATTATTCATACAGTGCAATGACACAAAAAACGCTGATACACGTAAACTTAATTTTGGGTCGTAGATCATGGGTCTGTATACCGGTTTTACAGATCGGGTCGTTTTCCCAAGAAATTTTAATAAAAAAAATAAATAAACTTTAATAAAAAAAAATAAAAATAAAATAAAATTGTAATTCTTTCATTTGTATTAAAGCCCGTTCTTTTGCTAAAAATCAAGCTACTAATGATAAAAATCGATAGATAAATAAACAACTTTTAAATGGTCATATGAAAATGTGCAATAATTTTTTGTATGAAATAGAAGCAGGAAATAATGTTACTAATACGCCATAGCGTACGTGGCCGTACTCGTACATACTCATACGTGGCGTATGAGTAACATTTTGCATGTTAAAGTTTGAAATTTTCTTCGTTCGCAACGCAAATTCAAAACGAAAATATCTTGAAAAAATTACTTGATCTTGAAAAACGCCGTAATCTATGGCCCAAAAGGAAGTTCACGTTGTTCGGCGATTTTTGCGTAACCATTATGAAATTAAAAAAAAAACAATGTCTGTACGGAAACTTTTTCTAGTGGGTCTAAGTACTATATGTATGTAGCTATATTTCCTACGTTTATGTATTTACTTACGATATTTGTTTGCCTCCATATCTTCAATCTTTGCCTTGTCACCCATATTTGAACTGGCCTTGTTGTCGTTAACTTTGTTAGCTGAAAGCGTTCCTTCTTTGTTTGTATCCAAGACAGTTGGCGCAGAAGTTGAACAGCCCATATTCAAAAGCGCTTATACGCTTTTTTTTGGGGGGTAAGCGTTTTTGTCCGCCTTGTAATCGTATCTTTTTCTTCACTTAGTATATATGAACGTTTTTCAAATCACTATTCGAATTGTAAAGTTCAAATGTAGCCATATCTACTTAATACACGCATACATATGTATCTGTTACTATTTGATATAATTTCCCGTTGTCAATCGATTTCTGATAAGTGTCCATTGCAATCAAAACTATGACAATTTCCTGTAGATTAAACTTGCATACATGCGTTTTAAATACATACATACGCATGTAAGTACAATGGTATGCATATCCTACGTACATACATATGTATGTATTTAAACCCGTTCGTCCTTCACAGTCAGTCGCACGTTACACTTTGAAAGCATTCAATGGCATCTTGTGATTGCTATACTTACTATATACTGTCAAAGACATGTACGTATGATTCAATTTCCGTCAACAGGAACATTTGTCTGCAGTTTGCGGTTGCGACTACTCGAATGAGAAGTTAGCCACAAAATCAATGCCACCGTAGGACGCGCTTGTCACTCGGAAAAGACAAAAGAGTGAATTCCATGAATTTTGCTAAACAGACATGCATGTACGTACATACATATGTACGGATTTGTACGCATGTAAGGTTGTACCCATACAATTTGTGCTATTAACTTATATTTCGTATGCACATTGGGCTAATGAATTTTTACATGCCAATGCTATGTATGTATTTGTGTTATCTGTATAGCGTGTTATATTGCATATAATATGAACATTGTTATTATTGTCCAATTTCTGTTAAATTATATGTGTGCTTTTTCAACTATGTATGCAATTGTATGTACCGCCGTACAAAGTGTAAAAATCGCGCACGCTTGACAATAACTGCCGCTCTACTATCGGCACTTTCCGGTTCAATCATTCGTACAGGACTACCGTCTATATGGATTCGCCTACGCCATAAATACTCGTACATGCATGTGCATGCGATTAATCGCAACAAATAAATGTTAGCTTACGTGTTGAATATAGTTAATTGAGGTGGCTGACATTAACTTTGGTCATTTATTATATATTGTATATCCTTCTATTTATTTAGCACATACATACATATCAACATACTCGTAGTATGCACTCAGGCCCGTCGAGAAAGAGAGAGAGGGCCCCGGATTTTACGGGGCCTGCAATAATGACAGACTTATGATTTCGTTGAGTTTGTTAACTGATTTTGTATTATAGCAAAAAAAAAAATCATTATAGAAACAAATATTTTTCGATATTTCCACCTGGTGGTTATAGGCTTTTAAACGTTAAAGAAACGCTACATCGGAAAACTCTCAATTGATCACATTGATTTTAAATTTATACACTCTATGGTCAGGGGCCCGTGATTTTGCGAGTTTTCTCTCGACGGTCCTGTACGCACTCATAAATTTGTGTACTTATATGTACTACATACATACATATGTTCATACATATATGCTTTTTATAACACGGTAAACAAATGTTTTTATTAGGGACGGAAAATAATAATACTTTTTTTTTTAGTTCTAACCGAAAAAATATACAAGTTGTAATCGGCGTAAAACAAGTTTAACTATACTCACGTGTTTGTGTTCATACGTCCTACTGCAATTTACAATGATTTTTATTTTTCGAGTTTAACCAATAAAAATTAAAAATAATTATTAATATTTAAGTTTTAATTGTTCGCTCAAAGATAATTATTATTACTTGATTTTAATTTTTTCGATCAGTAACAATGATTATTTTATGATTTTTATTTTTTCGCTCAAAGATAATAATTGTTATTGAGTTTGATTTTTTCACTCAAGAATAATGATCATTAAAAAACTCAAAGCTATACCAGCGTGATTTCTGTCATATCCTTTTCAGAGGTAGTGACACCCTAATAAAAGGAATAAGTCCCAAAGTTTTCAGGTCAAAATTTCAGTAAGTTCCGTGTTCATGGCTTTTTCAATTTTATAAATAATCATTATATTTAAGTGGAAAAATAAAACTCGATAATAATTATTATCTCCGAGCGAACAAATAAGAATATCATTATTATCATTATATCGAAAGAAATAAAAAAGAAGTAATAATACTTTCCGTTGAGCAAAAAAAGTTAAATCAATAATAATTATTATTTTTGAGCGAAAAAATAAAAATCATAAAATAATGATTAAATGCTGATTTAAATTATTTTACTCATAATGATTACTGTCCCTGGTTTTTATACATACATACATATAATTTTTTTGAACAACAATGCGAATACATGTGTAGAGGATGCAATTTTTCACACAATTTAGATAAGTAATTATCTCAATTTTATTAATTGAGGTATTAAAAAATACTCAATAGCTAGATGACGTATTTTCTTTGTAGTCCTACGAATAAAAATTAACACTGTAGGGCATCAACAAAATAATGCCAACATTAGTATCAATATGTGGTAGTCAAGCGGCAAAGGATTTTGCTCTACCCTATTTTAGGGGAGTTGAAGTTTTCTTTTTTTTTTTGTTATCATCGTCAAAGCACAAGACCGCCAGCGAATATCCAGACCCGGTACTAAATATATGCCGGACACTTGTACCTTAGTAAATTATATACATATTTTTTTATGAATACTACAAATTCTCAGAAAAATATTTGTAACATTTAACTGACCACTAGTGTATAATGAATGGACTGAAAAAAAAGACATTAGTTCCAAGTTTCCCACCCCAATATATGCATCTTGTATGTATGTATGTACATATATTAATGTTTCTGCATGCATACAAATGTACATACATGTGTATGCATGCAGAAACATTAATATAATGCAAATAAATAAACACTTATAAACCGTCCTCCTCATCCACTTATTCTAATTAATCTATTTTTGACATATGTATATAGTATGTATGTATGTGTGTGGTATAACAAGCACCGAAATTGTGTCTTAGGTTCTTGCCTTTTACTATTTACTTAACCATAATGACTATTTGATACTAGAAAAGTACTCACTTGACTTCCAATTACTTTCGACTTCAGCAATTACGGCAAATAAATATCAGGGTTGAGCATTTTTGCACTACCACTGAATTGCACTATCACTGTTTATTCAGTGATAGTTAAAATGCAGAATTCATTATCACTGAAAATTTAGTGATAGTGAAAAGAAAATTTCACTATCACTGAAGGTTTAGTGATAGTGAAACACCAATTGCATTATCACAAACTTTAGTGATAGTTAGAAAAAACTCACCACCTAACTTTAAAATAATAAAAACTCCAAAAAAGCAAAAAAGTGTAACGCTGTTACTCTTAGGGCCTTTTTCTCAAGTAACCGGTCACTTTAAAGCTCACTTTATATTTAAAGGTTGCATTAAAATTTATAATAATGACTAAAATAAAGGTTTTAAATTGGTTTACAACCAAGAAACATACATACGTCAAAAACCGATAATAGAAATGCCCAACTTTAGACGTAGCTTTATTTTTAATCCAACCTTTACTGTGAATTTAATATATTATCTACATACATATGTAAAATAATAGCCGTTTCCATGATTGCACTTTAACTCAAAAACTACTGGATAGATTTCAGTCAAATCTTTAGAGATTGTACCTTGCATATATGGTCCTATTATAGGGTAGTTTAGTATAAACGAAAAAATATTATCTAAGGAAGTAAGGTTAAATCTATAACATGTACATATATTAACTTTTTACATTTTGCTAACTCAGGTGTACAAAATTATGGAATAAATGTAATAGGCCAAAATCTGCGCAAATAATAAAAACAGTTATATCTTCGAATCTGGTTACACCTTGCGTTACAAGATGGAACTCATTGTACGATTCGGTTCAGAAGTTAATAGAAGTCAAAAACAGATTAGGTGAACTATGCTATAAGCTGGAAATTTCTACTTTCAATGAGGAAGAAATTGAGTATTTGAAAGAATATGCAAAAGTAATGCAACCAATTGCAGAAGCTATCGACTTCCTTCAAAGAGTGCAAAATATGTTCTTTGATTACTTTATTCCAACTTTACTGTCCATCAAAATAATAATGCGACGTTTAGCTTCCGAAAACATGAAATATTTGACGGAAACTAATATTCAAATGCAATCAAAGCTAATGCAAAGGTTTGAAAAATATTTTAGTTTGCACTCTGACTCTTGGGATGCAGTTATTGCAGCAATTCTCATTCCCGATATCAAACTAAAATTTTGCAAAACTGTGCTGGAAGTGCTGATATACACTCTAGAAGATGTTCGGGATAAATTTAAAGAATATGCGATGGAGTTTAAAAGACAACCGGTAGGGGAAGATAATAATTTACAGCCTTCCATAAGTGCTAATACATCATTTCTCGAATTCGATGAGGAGTCTACAGGTATTTGATTAAAAGAAACCAACCTGCAAAAGTTTTGTAAATAATTTGCTTTTTTAGATGAAAATCGGTATACATGTTGCCATGTAGGAGTGATTACGTTTATATCTACATAAATGCCTACCAAATGATATGCCTTAAATTCGTTCTTAAGTATCTATCATAAACAAATAACCTATCCAATACTTTATTTATAATAAATATATACTTTTTTATTTCATATCTATATATGTACATTAGAGTGGTCCAAATTTTGTATGAGGGAAAAATTTCATCGTAGAAAATGGGGCATCCCCTTAGTTTTTTCCTTTTTGGTATTTGTGATATCTATACCAACTTTCAATTTCCTACTGTAACCAATACCGGGTGCTCAATAACCTTGAAATGCGCTACTGAATCTCTTTGAAACTGACAAAAATAATGATGGTTTTTTTATAAAAAGCTACTGTTGCCATGACAACTGAAGCTTATAATATTTTTCAGCTAATTTAATTTTGAAATGATCGCAGCGTTAATATATCGCGCGTTTAATAATATAGATATGTATCTCAGCTGGATAAAAGATAGTCGTAAATACCATTTTGGCGATTTTTAATTTTAGCTTCAGTTATATATTTTTAAATAAGATCTTTCGATTGTTGTTTTCAGTTTTTGGAAATCTACTTTAGTTTCCAAGATATTGACTGCAATTTTATCGGTAATTTAGTGCAAATTTAGTTAATAATGCAGTCACACCAAACTAATCGAGATATTTTATTAAACTTCAATCACAATTTCCCAAAACCTGCCGAAAGTAACATACGACAATCTTATGCTTCTAGAAATGTAAAGTTTTCTGCGAGCACCCCCTTCGGCAAGAGGAAATATTTTGGAGTATTTTTGGACCACTCTAACGTACATATTTTTTTTAAGTACATATCGTTATAACATGAAAACGTTGCTGAAATGCAAAAAACCGTAACTAACTAAAATATATATTGCATAACCCGACGTGGGGACTTATAATTCGAAGAAATACATTATACTTATTCTATCAAAAAGTGAATTTTGGATTTTTAATAAGTGACTGTTTTTTTTACAGCAACGATATGGGATAGAGCCTTTGTACGATATATACATGTGCATTCCTCATTAAAACTTATTATTTTTAGCAAAAAAAATATACAAATTCTCCTATATTATTCCTAGATTGTTTCAAAGCAGTCGAATTTATGAGCTGTTACCCTTTTCCTTGCAGTAGTGTGTTTTCTACAACCTAACTGGTGCGTTTGCCCGGTCAATATGGTTAGAAAGACTCGCCGAATCGGCGCCTTGGTCCTGACACGCATTTGAAAATATCTTTTCTTAGTGAATGATTTAGAATAGGGTTGATTATGGAGTCAGGGAATTATTCTAATCATCTTGGAAGTCAAGCAACATGTTTGCCTAAACGTATTCTAACATTTTGCTTATTATCGTTTCAGAGATTTCAGACAGCTCCGCCTCTTTCAGTGAATTACAATTTCGGCACTCAGCAAAATGTCGCAAGGAGTAAGATCATACTCGATATGAGGCGTATGATTTGACGCATATATTTCGAAACGGCGCATCCTTAATCCAAGCTGAAGCTCTGTGAATAAGTTGAGTAGAGCCATTGGGCAGGCCACGGCCAACTCCACTGTAGCATGTCACAATTAGTGGAATTTCACTCGCATCAGTTTTCAATTACGGCTCCAGCAATATGAAATGTATTTTTTTTAATATTTACAAATTTAGTCCCTTTCGAACATTTCCAGACGTTGAAAAATTATGAAAATAAAGGATAAATCTGATCGACACAGCATTTTGTTTATTTTGGTTTTGTTGACATGGAACAGCTGTTCCTAGTGGTTGCATTTGCGATGCCACTGTACTAGAGTCGGTAAAGCAGTGTCATTAACCTGTAGTTGAAACTGCGAAAATTTTGGGAAAATAGCGCTGCAAAATTATAAAAAAATGCGAAGTTATATGATTTTTATAACATTGAAGCGACACAAAAGGCTATATTAATCAAATTGAACCTGATTTTACCGCATTTTGTGCTTTAAATACACACAAATTAAATTTTAACTTTTACTGCAGATCTGGCAGCCCCACCAGCAAATCATGGCTGGTAATGTAGTACCAGCAACATGCCGCTAGCAACTCGGCATCTGCAACATTATCGCAACATGCTGCGCGTGCAACATTTGTTGCGGCAGCCACCTGCTGGGCGGTTCTGCGCGCCTGGTGGAAATCTTGAATTCGTTAACGGCATTTTTTTTTCTTGCCGCTGCGGCGCTTGCGAGAAAATGAAGAACGTGCCGGGGTTTTAGAGGATTTTTCGTGCAGATTTGAAGAAAATTAAATATTCTGATGCTTTTAAAAATAAATTCCAGATTTTTATGCTGTTTTAAAGTACTTTTTATTTTAACTACATGAAAAAAAATTATTTTAGCTTGTATTTTACTTCATATGACCAAATTAATAAAGAAAATGTGTATGTGGGCTCAATGCATGTACATATATACATAATATAGTTAAAATTTAGCGCCTATTTAAAGAAGTTATTCAAATTTGGAGCTCTTTTCCCTGGATACTTTGGATTTCTGCTGAGGATTTATGTGAGCTTTCTTCTTTCAGCAGCTGGAAATGCCTGAAATTAGTGGATTAGTGATACATATTACATACATAGAAATTTTAAAAGTTAATGAAGAATGTTCAAATGTCACTATAGAAATAAAAATGGATATTATGAAATTTAGGTAATCGCAGATTTAAATAACGATATTTACTTACTTTTACTACAGAATCGCTGAATTTTTCCCAAGATAAACTTACTTGTTTAACCAAAGAGTTGGATTGATCTGATTAAATAAACCAAAGCCAACCAAATGGTCCTTTTGAAATTTTATTCTTGATATTCCTCGAAAAATTTAAATTTTTTATTTTTAATAGAAATACATATACAGTGGCGCTCACCTAAATAGTACACTTTTTTTACAAAGTTCACAATGTTTTACATTATAAATTTTTTCGTAAATTTTTTATAAAAATATATAGTAGATTCTATAACATAAACCATATAAGTCAAAATTTAACAAATTAAAAAAACATCAAAATTTAAAACTTCTTTTTCAAAATTTTTATAAACTGGATAGGCAGTTTGTAGCCCATTCAACTTTAGTAAGATAATGTGCAGGTTTGAAAATTCGGAAAAAGCCTGTTGATTTTTGAGAATTTTTTTTATCAAGGCTGTTGCGCATTTTCTTCCATATAATGCATGAACAAAATCTATCTATACTAAAATTTAATAAGTTACAAACTGCATACCCAATAAGTTTCTTAAAATTCTGGAAAAAACTTTTAAATTTTGATTACTTTTTTTAATTTTTTTAATTTTTACACTTTGACTTACATATACGGTTTATATTATAGAATCTACTTTATCTTTATAAAAAACGAACGAAAAATATGTATCACGTAAAACTTTGTGAATATTGTAAAAAATAAGTGTGCCATTTAGGTGAGCGCCACTGTATGTACGCTAAAGACTAATATAAAATACACGAGCGCATTTTCAAACTTCGTCCTTCTAAATTTATTAGCTTAAAAAATTAAAAATCATTAAAAGGCCATTTTCAATACCTAAACATTCATTATTGTGAATCTACAAAAATATGTACATATGTATGTACATTAGACTGCATCACCAAAAAAAGTTGCAGTTTTTCGCCGGGATTGCAAAATTTGTTATATTTTAAGAAGTCAAACAAAATATTTCGGAAAAATATTAAGATTTTAATGAGCTGGACCGATTTGAAAACACCTCCAAAAGTGGAGTTTTTTATGAATAAAAATAGTTTCTTAAAGAACTTTTTGAAAAAAAGTCCCCTCAGATGACAAAACAGATTAAGCTTAAAAAATCTGCATAAAAATATTTAAAAATCTTTTCAATGGAATCGTAAGAACGAGATTTTTGATGCTGTTTTTTTACTTTTTTCAAAGATTGATTTACGAAAACCTTGAATAACTGGGCCAAAACTATTCTGATTTAGACTTAAGGGATCTCAGTGGAAAGGTATTTTCACACTGTTTTTATTTCTGTCCAAAAAAGTCATTCCGTATGCCAATTTTTTATTTTTCAAATACCAACACATTCAACTTTGAATAACATTTGTTCATCCTACCTTTCTCTGTCATCCTTTGAATGAATTTATTAGCAAAGAAATAAAAACGATGAGAAAAAACCTTTCCAATGACACCTCTTAAGTCTAAATCGGAAGAGTTTAGGTTGTATTATTAAAGTTTTTCTTATGCCAATCTTTGAAAAAAGTTAAAAAACAGCATCAAAAATCTCATTATTACGATTCCGTTGAATTTTTTTTATTATTTTTTTTTTTAATATTTTTATGCAATTTTTTTGAGCTAAACCCGTTTTGACATTTGAGGGGATTTTTAAAAAAAAAATTTTAAGGAACTATTTTTATTCATATAAAATTCCATTTTTAGAGGTATTTTCAAATCGGTCCAGCTCACTTAAATCTTAATATTTTTCCGAAATATTTTGGTGGACGTCTTAAAATATAATAAATTTTATAATTCCAATGGAAAAATAGCACCGATTTTTTTTTTGTATGGGGAGTGATGCAGTCTAATGTACATATATCGATTGGTTCGTGTGTTTTGCAATTTTTTGGTTTTTGTCGCGTGGTGTTATTAACAATTTTTTACATTTTCTCACACTTACAGAGTCCAGCCCCTGGCCAACACTAATTAATTGGATATTCGAGTTTTTCGGCGCTTAATTATTCGTAAAAATGCAAGTTTTAAAAATTGTTATGGCTTTTCTTTTTACAAAGTGTTCAAAGTCAAGTATTTTACCGACTTTATGTATGCTACCGCATAACTTGGAACCGATTTCGATAGTGTCTCCGAGGTGGTCCCATATTAATTTGGTTTAGATCCGCGATCATTGCATCATGAAGAAATTAACGGTACTCCAAAATTTTTATACAAGAATTGAAGTCGGTTGTGTTTTTTGCTTAAAAATATTACTTGTTTTTTTTTAACACGTTTAGGGAATTAAAAATTAAACTTGGATTTTTTTTATATAATTATAAAACTTTGTTTTGTGTAATATTTTAAATCAATTTTTAGTACACTTATGGCCAGTTTCACGAAAGCCATATAAGTGAAAATGATTTATTTTCATTTGAATTTTATATGAAAATTGAGAGAATTAAAAAAAATAATAATTTTTCACTTAGAAAATTCCTGGTGAAGCCGACAACAAGAAAAGTGTTAATAGTAGTACAAAAAAGAAGTAAAAACAAATTATTTTTAAATTTCTAGAACGAAGGAATATGGACTATTTTTCGTTTTCATCAGGGACCGCAGATAATGATTATTATTTTTTTTTTTAATTTAAACTCAAAAAATCATGCTGAAAGGGAAATGCTGCGTACATAAGAAGTAAACCAAAAAATTAATTTTTAATCGGACCACCCTCATGGGCACTGATGCCGGAAACTAATTGGGTCTGTTGGGGTCGAGTCTGGGCAGGTAGCTGTTGAAGCGGCTTCACTATCTAGACCGTCACTGAGCCCGGGTAAAGCGGGTCTCTCTTGGCAGTTGAAGCTCTGTCTCTGATACAGGTGGTGATTGTACTTCGATCATGGCATTCATAGGCCGGGAGTCGTGGTAGGTTGTGACCGACTCCCTATGAATGTCGTTGATCACTCGGGTCGGTTCATCCGTCAACGTTGTCGTGTCCGTTTCAGCTAAGGGGAGACCCAGGAAGTGCGCGACTTCGACAGGGTCTGTCCATAAGGACAGGGGCGTTAGCTGGGTGGGGTTCACGGGGCATGTGAAGAGGTGCCGAGAGTCATGTGGCGACTCTCCACATGCCGGGCATTGGTAGGTCGTTACGTCTTGAGTCCAGTGGTTGGTCAATCTATGTCTGGACCGCGTCCTTGTATACGACGTGCCTGGGCAGATGATCCTCCACTAGCAAGGGTCTGTTGGGGTGTTCACTTCTGTGGCGCCACCACCAGAAACTGCTTCATACTCGTCTTCGTATTCGTATTCTTTTTCTCATACGTTTTCGTGGCCTTAATCGTACTCGTATTGGTCTTCAATTTCCTTCGTGTTTATATTTATTCTCACCTTCAGCTTCCTAATCATTCTCTTTTTCATGTTGTTGTTGGTGCAACGGCATAAAAACTCACCAAACAGTTTTGAGTATTGATGCTCTTTTTCGTTGTTGTAGCGGCTATGCTCTTTTCCGTCTTTGTAATCGCCTTCCGTTTTCGTATTCGTCTCGTGCTTCCTTTTTGTCTCCATCTTCGTATTAAAAAGTTCCGACGAAATGATGACCCCTTCCTCTTTTTGAATGCAGTTATAAATAAATATTATTTTCCGAGCAAAAAATAAAACTAAAAAATGGCGATTATTTTTTGAGAAATAAATGAAAATCAGTAAATAATCATTTAAAGTAATTTTTTAATAAAAGTTATAACCGTTACGGTCCCCGTTGTTGTTGTAACTGCACACAGATTCTCCAAAAAGCTCTTGGGGAGTATTGCTGGAGTGAGAGTCCTTGGCCAGATATAAATATGGGTCGTTCCGGTTACGTAGACCCGTAGACCCGACTGTTGCGGGAACGCGGTCCCTGGTTTATATCAATGCAAAAGCCTTAAATAATAAATTTGAAACTTAATTTAAACAAAAATATTTATTTAAAAATAAGAAATGCTGTCAAAGCTATTCGGAACAATCCAAAAGATTCCGTATTTTTTAAGATGTGGCATTGCAATCTAGTTTCGCCGTGCAAATTACATTAAAAAACTAATTCCGAAAAATTTTTACTTGGATTTCGCATTCACACGATTTCGACTTAAAAGTATAATCTTTTTCGCTATAAAATAGATAACAGCATTTAGAAATATTTTGTTTGTTTGGAGATTTAAGAACTAGTGGGTAGTATTTTAAATAAATTTAGCACTCTAAAAATTTTATTTGCTTTCAGCAAAAAATAATAATAATAATAACTAAGTCTCTGAAAGAGAAAGCAACAAATTACCCGTAGTATAAATTACCAAATTAGATTGAGTTGATTAAAAATAATACCATGAAATCAGCGCCACACCTTAAAAAGCTTGGAAGAATACATTAAAAAAAGAAACGAATAAAAAGCAAAAAAAAAAAATATTAATTGCAGTTTCTAAAACTTGCAATTGCCCTTTTCTGTAGAAACACTTGTCAACGAGAGTGAAATCTGGATGAAACTGCCGCAAAACAAAGCATCCATAACAGCAATCAATGGTGGTGGTGGTGGATACTGTAAATGTTATTAAGCTAACCTGTCTTGCATTTGGAACGACTGCCATTGTATATATGTAGATATGCAAACAGGTAGATATGTATGTGTCAGTGTATGCGCACAGCACCACATCTCCACCCACATAAAACAAACAAATTTAATATAATACTCGTAGTAATAAAAAATAAATAAATGAAATAAAATAAAGAAATTGGCAGAAAATTTGTGTTACCATTTCGGGAGAATGTCGACGACAATATTTGCATACACAAATTCCATATTAATAATGCGTAATAATCGCAAAACAAATTCATACATACATAGACACAAACAAACATAATATACGTGGTTGTATGAGCATATAGTTGTACATTTACATAGATTATATTGTATTATTGGTTTAGAGCTACGGGAAACGCGTTAGTGCCATTTCATCCGGTGCATATTTGTTGTGTGGATATATGTATGTACTATATAGGGTTTTCATACGGGATAAGCATGATAAGCGGCGCATGTGCATGCGCGCCAACGTCGCGCCATACGCTGCGAATGCTAAATGAGTCTTCAATGAATGAGTGCGTATGCGCAGTGCGGGCGGCGGCGTTATTAACTATTTGCACGACAAAAATTCATAATCAATAGGAAAATAATGTCATAAAATAAATATCTAAGTTCTGAATAAGCCAAATTAGTTATGGACAATTGGAAATTGAGAATGTGGCAATTAAACTACATATTCATATTTGAAGCGTTGGAAAAATTAATAATGAAGTGATGATGGATGCATGAGTAATATTAAAAGTGCAAATTGTTGCAAGTATATACAGAGTAGTATGTATAAAATACATGTAGGTGCATGCAAAATATGATGAAAAAAGGGCTTTTTTAAATAGAATGTATCTTAGAAAAAGATGTGTGAAATAACCAAAATTGGTTCGAAATTGGTCTTGATGGCACTATTAAGTAACTCACGCATATGAGTAATGCTCCATCATCTATGTATATATATTTTTGATAAGTAGGTATAAATATTTAGGTTTATTAAATTTGGCTTCGAAATACAAGAAGAAGAAGAAAGTAACAAAACTATTTAACAATAACTTTCATATTCAAGTTCCTGGCATGTGGATTGCTTGGTTTTCTTTGAGACGCTCGATTATCGCGGAAAATAATTTAGGAACACTAATGTGCTGTATATGTACGTACGCAGTGAGGGTCAAAACATATGAAACTGAAACGAATATTTTCTAAAGTCTGGCCAATAACAAACGATTCGCCGTTTGGTGGCGGCATAGAATTGTAGCTCCTTCTTTTTGTTTTTTGTAACATAAGGGCACACCACAAATTGGAGGAGAACTCGGCCAAATAAAAGTGTATGCACCAATATTATTTATTGAGATCTCATACCTGGCCCGCACAGTGGTCAATAAATGGGATTTTATGTTCATAATTCACTGGAGCCTTCATTTCTCAACCAATTTGATAAAAAAAAATTTTAATGAAAGCTAATAAAATTTGCAAGAGACTAGTTGAGCCCAATTTTCGAATTTTTTTTTTGCTTCTATTAAATTTTTGGTGCAAAGTGCAGAAAAGTGCCAGTGATGTAGTTCCATATGTTTTGACCACCACCGTAAGCACATAAGTACATACACTTATAGAACAAGGTATTACACTTTTTTCTGCTTAGATAAAACTGAATTTACATTTTAATTAAAATTATAAAAACTGCTTTAACTATCTCTCACACTTTGTTTTTCGTTTTTTTTTTGTTTCATTTTTTTTTTCGGCAAGCATCAAGTCTTTGTGTTGAATCAACATTTTGTATTCAATCAAGCTCTTGCTTTATCATCATAGCAGCTGAGTTTACAGCAGCATTATTGCTTGCTGTTGCAGCTTTCAAAGTTTGCTGCTGCTGTCGCTGCTCTGATTTTGTTTCTTTCAAACGCATATCCTTGGCCTCCAAAAGGCCAGCTCTTGCATGCACATCCTTCGTTGACTTCAATGTTTGCGCAGCGTTCGTCGATAAAGGTATCGAAATATACTGTTGTCCGCTTCCATCTGAAAGGTAAAAGCATTAATAACAAATTATAAACATTTAAAATAAATAATTCAATAAATTTCATTGTGTTTTATCACCCACCTTCTTCAGTATGCAATTGCAAGTGACCAGATTGTATTAGCTTTAAGAGCATATCCTGCGGCAGACTAGATAGCGTTGCAGCTGAATAGGTTAAGGCCTCAGCTGTTGTTGAAGGTGCGTCTGTTGTTGGTTGTATTTCCTGCTGTGCATTCGTATTGTGTTTGGTTCTCGTTTCACCAACAGCTGATGAGCTGCTGCTTGGTGTCAAGTCCTCGGCGACGGCGGCATAGGCAATATTTTTGGCCGCATTCGCTGCAGCGACGGATGTAGTGGCCGCTGTTTGCTGCCTACTGCAATCCTGCGCACTCGCTTCGGATATTGCGGCTTGACTTTTGGTTGCTTGCAAGGCGGGTCCCGGCGATTCGGCGTCGGATGAATCGTCTGATTCATTGCCAGAAGAGAGGGGTGATCTACCTTCCTGCAAGTAGGGAAGGGAGAAAAAAGAAAGTATTTATTATTTAGTATTTTATTTTATTTTAAATTAGAGAATTGAATTCGTTCATTATAACTTATTTTTATATTCGTAACTAAATAATATAAATATGTAGATATGTACCTACACAACAAATACACCTGCAACAAAATAATAGTCCGGCATTCTGACCAGTTTTGACGATTGTTCTTTTGACTGTTTAATGTGCATTGAATCCAAATTCCAAACTTTGTGAAAATTAAAAAAATTCAAAAAAGTTTCGTTTAAATTGCAAACTTTTTAATTGGAATTTCTAGGAATTTCTGGTTTGTAGATTTATGGCCCAATAACTAAACTTTAGTTTGAAGTTGTTAAGAAATCCCTGGCCGAGTCGTGCATTTTTTCCACATTTTTACAAGTTTTAATATATTATTATTTTTTGTTATTTAATTTTTGTTATTTTTTATAAGAATATAGTTCATTCTTTAACAAAAATTCCACGAACTTACGTAAAAATCTTGAGCTTTTATTAAGATTTCTAATACTAGGTTTACATATAAGAAGATTATCCTCATTTTCGAGCTTTACTCCCTAATCTGTATTTGGAAAAAGAGATAAGCCACAAAAAATTCCTCCCTCTAGAATCTGTAATTATTAAATAATCTCAGATTAAACTTATAACTTTTCGGTGTCTAACCTACTTAGTTGAATTGATTATTCTTGTGAGAAATGTCAAATGTGAAAGTAAACAAATATAAACAAATTAGAAAAAGTATGAGTATGCAGTTTTGTAGCTCATTGAATTCTAGTAGAATAAAGTGCAAGTTTCAAATGACTAAAAATTACCGTTAATTTTTTAGTTTTTTCCCCCATTCGCTTCCATGTGACGAATAAACCCAATTTATTTTCATATGAAAGAAAAACGTAATATCTTCGCCAAAAAATAAAGATCCTAAGAAAACAACGGTAATTTTGAGCCATTTGAAACTTGTACTTTATTCAAATAGAATTCAATGGGCAGAAAATCTTTCTAAGAAATCTCGAAATTTTTACGAAAGTTGTTGATTTTTTTTTTTAAATACATATTTTAAACTTGGATTTACACAGTTTTTGTCAAGAAATTAACTATATTTTTATAAAAAAAAAATAAAAATAAAAAAAAAATTATATAGCAAAACTTGTAAATTTTGGTGCGGCTATATTGTTTTCGACCACTATATGAGTCGAACGTGAGCGGGTGTTGTCAAGAACTTAGCGGATGAACCCTCTAGGGTCCAACGGCTGAAGTTTTGATTCTTCTCAGGGACACCGGTAGGGTTGGTTCCTCGGAAGTAAGGTTGACGTTCTGACCCCCCGACTAAACTAAGTACTGTGCTTCGGATAACAGCAAATCTTTATTTTGAGAATAATGTCATTATTTGTCCTTTCAACGCTTAGTGGAAATTCGGTATTAGGATCAATAAAATAAGAAATCGCTCCAATCACTGCAATTTTTTGGCGCACCATCGTTCTCGTTTTATGCCACTATGTCTTAAACCAACATTTTGGATTATTTTTTTTTTTTCTCTAATTAAGTTACTAAAATACGAATACAACTTAACCGCCATACATGTATCTACTAATTACGCACGAAACAAAATGCCAACCCACAACGATCAATAGAAAAAACTAAAACAAAAAGAAAATCGGCGAATTTCGTTTACAAGCAGTTAGCTTATTGGATTTCGTGAATTTGCTGACAGTAATTGAGCTCATAAAGCTTAGATAATTCTTAGACAGTTTACACGGCATTGTCGCCAAAGCTGACCGCTGGACATTTGAATTGTACGTAAATACATATGCACATATTTACATATGTTCGCAGAGATCTTGGCGCTGAAAAGCAAAGCGTGCCGCCGCCAACGAAAATAACAATACGCAGAGAAGAAAATAGATACACATAGAGCCGTAAAACAATCGGACTAACCAACAAACAGATGCTCGACGTATTAAGTGTATGCACAAGAAGCGTAATGTAAATTGTAGTAGGTGCATGTTGCATGCACCTTCTCGATTTCACGAATATTGCGACGACAGACAGATAGACAAACAAACAAACAAACAAACAGTGAGTAAACTTGAGTCAGCTAGCGAGGCTTGTAAATGCAGGATTAGGTAAGAAACTTCTACATCTGCCGCCGTTGATACCACCAAAGCACCAAATGTGCAGCCAATGCAACGCAGCCGCCAACAATTCAACAGCTCAGTACAGCTAACCAACCAGCTAGTCAGGCAGGCAACCAGCTTGCAAACTGACAAAACCAAATGCTCAACCAAATGACCAACGAATGAGCAGCGGCGGCAGCAGCAGCGCACCTTCAACGCTGAAAAAATTCACAAAAGGGATCAGTTTCATTGATGATGGCGCTTTTGCATTACGCCTGGTTGCGCTTTCAATGAATACACACACACATAGGAACTTAGGTGCATACATACATACATGCATATGTGAATACTCGTGTGGACTCATACAAATATGCAAATTGTATTACGCGCTTGCGATCTTAAATCTAACGCACAATTGTTGCCTGCCAACTGTACTGTACCCCAGAGTACTATAGAACTATACTGTTTCGCATTGTCTTTGGGCGATGATTTTCATTGCTTTCTTTGTTAGCCATTTTTCTGTATGTATTTTTTATTTTTTTTTTGCCATTTGGGCGGGTGGTGACACGATTCACCAAAACCTATTTACATATGCATGTGCAGTATGGTGGACGGGCGTTCGCTTTTGCGGCCTAGTCGCCGCCAACAACAATAAATAGCTAACAATGGTACTCGTACAGTTGGCTACGAAAGGTGGCGAATCTTAAGGGAAGTAGAATTTGGGTTTGCAACAATAGAAAGGTGTGTTGACCTGGGTTGTGCTATAGGCAGACCCGGTAGCCCTTCAGAGTCGACTATCTGACGTTTGGTGAAAAAATTGAGACGACCTAGAAAAAGGTATCTATGGGTTAATAAGTACCAAAATCAGGTAATAAAGGAGTAATGACTTGTTCATCTATTTGGAGCAATAAGCGAGCAATCAAGGCTGTTTTTTCTAGCTTCTTCCAAAATTGTATTGATTCCTCCCTTGTTTATATGTTTTGAAATACATAATAGCCGTCATCGATTCGCCACTTCTCGTTCGCTATGTTTGAGTTCCGGTCGCTTAGAAAAGAAATTTGCATGTGAAAGCAACAACAAAGTTAGCTAGCACGGATAGACGATAGCGAGTTTGGTTGTACCTCATTGAGTTCGTTCGTTTCGCCACTCGCTAACTGTTGGCGAATCGATGACGGCTAATAATAAACGAGCTAAGCAGATAAAATAATATTACCCTTTTCGTTATCGTTTCGAAGGTCAAAAGAAGCTTAAAATATACACCCTTTGCCCTCATTTATAACATGCAATGTTAAAAGGCTTTACAACGACATGCACATAGTGTAGCAAATTAAAATACAACGGCTCCGCTGGCTTGGCCACGTGGTTCGAATGGACACTGACGCTCTAGCTCTGTAAGTATTTAACTGGGAACCCGCTCGTGGTAGCAGAAGAAGAGGGAGGACCCCACTGCGAAGGAAAGGCCAAGTGGAGAATAACTTAACTTCACTTGGCATTTCCAATTGGCGTCAGTTGGTATAAAATCCACGAGCCTCGGAAATTTGTGGAGTAATACATTGCTCGAAAAGGAGCGATCTAGGATTAATCTTTGTGTGATCCTATTTTTTACCAGTACATCGAAGGAACACTAGATTGGACAAGAACATCAAGAAGATATGCAGAGGAAACTCTTGTAGTAAAGTACCCTGCCGTAAAATTAGCATGTGGCTGATCCAAATTCAAACTCGCTTCGAAGAGAACCGACTAGTCTGCAAGCCAGCGATGCCTCAGACTCATAACTATCCAAAGTCAACTCTGCTCGATACCTCAAACCGCCTGTAAACACAGATCATCAAGTAGATAAAGACCACTGCCTCATGGGCACACATGGAAAGAAGTTGGGATATTCAACCAACGGTTTTTGTCGCAGCTGCAGAGAGAAGGGAGAAAATATCGAACACTATCTTTGCCCCTATCCCGCCCTAGCCAGGACGCGTATCCACTTCTTCAATAAGTACTTTAAATTGCTTGATTCAACAAATGGCTTTCACCAGAGGTACCACAAAGGCCTTTTTTAGCCTCCGTGCTCCTGAACCTAACCGAACTTAATGACTGTCATGGAATTCACTACGTTGCCGATCGTACAGTGAAATCTTTTAAGCGGTGAAGTGATCAAAGGAATTGAAAATAAAATGTCGTTGCCCACGGTTAACCGAATTGTGTCACAAAAATTATCCATGAATGTTCCGCTTACGAACATATTTGTTACGTTTCTTGCCTGTGAAAGTAGAAGTACGACTTCACAGCACAGGCAGATAAATAAAGAAGGAAAGGGTAAAGGTGATAATCGTTATCCAATTCGATGATTTAATAATCCGCATCAAAGCGAGACTCTTCAAGATCTGGCTCATTTTCGACCACGCCACGACGGACGAGATGGTCGACAGTCGACCCTCCCAAAGTACTCGTCTATAAGCATCATCGGAAAATTCAGCATGCACCACAAAACCTACGAAAACGGAGTGAGGCTGATCGATTACAATGCGGTAGTTTGTAGAAAAACGAGCAGCCCAAGTCGAACATGTTGTGATAGACGGTAAGTACGCTTCTAGTATTCCGGACGTACAAACATATGTTCCGTCCGGTGACTAAACATTGACTAAGATCACTATCCTTTTGCAGCCCCTGTGCAATACAAAATTTGCGCCCCGCAAAACAGAAAAGCTCGGCGTCGAAAAGCTGCAAGCTCAACAGATAGCCAGCATATTCGCCACTCGACTCCACACCTGATCTCTGAGAGCGCTCTTCAACAAACCGATATATGCGAGCAGTGGGACCATATTACCCAGTAATTACCTACCACCCCGAAAGAACAATAGGTAAGACGAGGTATGTCACGCCGCTGCAGAGAAAAAATATGCCGCCTACAGGGCCACGCTGCGTGGGGCGTAATGCGATATATAAGGCAATAATAGGGTATTTTCCGCAATGAAAAGAAAAAGGGCGAAATGCTTGAATGCGAAGAGCTAGAAATACAGGCCAATAGGAAGGGCACCCGAAAATTTTGCCAGAAAGTAAGATAAGAACCAATACTGTGATCTAGTGATCTACGTCTACATCATGTCTAAATTATGGAGGGAACACTTCTGTACCTTGCTGGAGAAAAATGATCCAGGCCACCAATCGAAGACAATAGAGCAAATGTATCACAAGGTAGAATTAGCAATTTCACGATGGAAAAACAGCAAATATGGTGAATCTGATGTCCTTTCAATTGACCTATTTGAGTTGGGCACCGAGGAGTGGATAAGGTACATGCATCAATTCTTGTGCAGCATATCACATCAATCTAAGTACGACTTTGAAAACAATTTCCCTTAAAAATACGTAAAAAAAAGCGCTGTATTGCTTTTTTTGTAAAATCATTAGCTCTATAAATTTTTTATGAGTTTATTGACTTTCCATTAGTGAGTCCGATTTGAGTTCATTCAAAAATACATTTTACTAAATAACGCAATAATATTAACTCCTTAACTTTGGCAGCAACTGTACAAAACGGTCTCTAATACTTGTAATGTCGGCCATAATAGCTTTTGCCTATGCCTAAAACATTTCCACATATCACTTAAAAATAGCTAATTCTTTCTCACTTTATTTTTTCTTCCGTTCGTTAAAGCTTTTTTCTGTATTTTTTTACAACCGACTTCTTCACATATTATGTATGAAGCCCAATTCAAGACATATCAATGTATTGAACACATGACATTTATATCTACTTATACATAGTAGACAGCATGAGACAGTACGCGAGACTACTATTTATGTATGCATGTAGTAGGTGTCACAGTAGTAAGTCGGTCAGCTCAACTGTCAAATAAAATTTGTCATGCCGTCAAACTAAGCTCAACCCTAAAACTACAAAACAAAAAAAAAATTGAAACAAGACAGCGGAAAGCAATAACCAAAAGCAATAAAATGAAAAAAAAATACGCGTAGTGAGTGCAAACGTGGCTTGGCAGGTAAAATGAGAAAATAAGACACGCCCCAAAATGTGCGCCAAAGAGCAAACTTTACTAAAACGCACAACACATTCGTACAAACCCAGCCTTACGACAAAAAGCACGCTCTTTTTTGGTGTTGAAAGAGTTTTGTTGAGAGGATCAAAAGTCTCCATTGGAGCTGACTAATGGAGCTATTGTTAGCTCTCAAACTCTCCGGTCATTTTAGACACATTTTGTTCTAGGCTTAAAATCGCTTTTTTCTCTCTCTCTCTCTCTCTCGGGCTTTGTGTAGCATAATGTCAAATTGTGCAGCGGCTTACTTGCTCAGTTTTTAAGTTTCACTGTGCCTTTGACGATCGTGCCAATCAGTAGCCGTTCAAGAGCAAGTTCGACGTCGGCACATTGGCAGTGTTGAGAAGGAAAACTTTTCTAAATTCAGTGACTAAGTGAATTGTGTTGTAAAAATTTTTACTTGAATAAAAGTGGCAGTAAAGTACCAGTTTTGTGCAAAAGTTTTAAAGTAATAGGTAAGTTTATAAACCGTTTTTAGACACTTGTATGTTTTATTTTAAAAGTTAGTGATTTTGCAGTTAAAAATTGTGAATTTTGAGGAAGAAAATATTAAACATAAATTATTTGAATGGGGAAGGAGTGAATGCGAATTAATTTTATTGGCAGTAACTGCCGGTTTCATCAGCAATTCAAGTGAAAAGTGATTTTTGCAGTTTTGTCAATTTTCATAAGAAATTCAAATAAAAAAAAATATTTTCGCTTAAATTGCTTTGTGAAACAGGCTGTAAGTGAAAGAAAAAATTTGTTATACATACATATGTATGCGCATATCGTCGATTAAAATACAAAACCGCGTATCGTCTTTCTGCAAATCCGCGTAACAGACATTTGCTGCCAAATATTGTATTTGCTCACACAAGCTCTTGGCTCAATACTTATTCATTCGTCCTGAAATATACTAGCCAGAAATGCGGTTGCTTTATAAAAAAAGAGAACCATTTTGAAATATGAGTGTTTTTACTCTCTAGAAAATAATTTATGCAACCTCACATACGCGGTTCTTCGTGACACGCGGTTTTGTACTTTAAACGACGATATGTATGTAAATATAAAAATTTTATTAAAATGACGGCTCGTAAAGATTTTAAAATCTATTTTTTCTTTCTTAATTTTTTTACTGTCATTGATTTTTCTAAAAAAAAAAAATGGGAAAATCATTTTGAAACTAAAACTCGAGATTTAAAAGTTTTCAATTTACATACAAATCGTCCTCCTTATCCCAGAAACATGTATGTTTTAAAATGAAAATTTGGGAAATCAAGTTTAAATTTTTTTTTTTAAACTTAACTCACCATTCATGTAGTTAGTTATCAGTGGTAAATATTGTGGTTTCCGTATACACATGGTTTTTGTATAATATAGAACATCTAAAGCTTAATCAAGTCAACCCAATAACTCAAAATTGGTAAATGTGCACATTCATGCTCCTGGCATAAGGGAGGCGGCGATGTATGTTTGTATGTGCATAAATACTTACTCCAACAAAAAGTATGTATACAAAAATTTAAATTAATAGATATTTTGTGTAAGTGAGCTACCGATAACACTGTGAAACACAAAAAATACCTACAGTTTGATAGCTGTTGGCCATACGAACAATGCCTCATACTCAGATTTACTCGATCAATTCGTGTTCTCGAGAAAACAAGTTTTCAGGATCCAAAAATCTCAGTATAGCGCCCAAATGTTTTTTCTCCAAATTTTGAAATTTCATCGTTTTTGGTCTATGCTATTTTCAACAAATATAGGCCAAAAAGAAAGCGATAAATTATAAGTACTTATGTACAAGTTTGCGAAAATAATATATATTAGGGCGGGTCGAAAATCTAATTTTTCTCAAATCCCTTGGTAATAGTGAAAATATATTGTATCATGAAGTCAACCACAAGCCTGCAAAATATTAGTATTTTATTTTAATTGTAACAACCCATCGACCGCCACTTGTCCCACAGCACATTAGTCGAATAAGACCAATTCTTGTTAAAAATTCTGGGTTCAGCAAAAAGGTTTAGAGCATATTATTAGATAATGAATCGGTTTACGCAAAAGATAAAGTCAAATATCATTTCTTGCAGCCCTTTAGCTTATTATTAATCTCAAAGTTATCTCTTTTCCTAGAGTCAAAAGATGTAACGAACAGCATAAGTATTGCTGGGGTGCATTTAGATCGCTGGTTCCAAATATTCTAATCTTTTTTTTTTAATAATATCTAAAGTTTGCGAATTTTTGCAAATTTAGGAACAATTTCGATAGCTCTAATAGAAAAGCCATTATTTTCCATCGTGTCGGAAAAATTGTGTTTATGCAAATGAGTATGGTAACACTGAGCAGGCACAACTTTTAGAAACACTAATTAGTTTACTTATATTAATGCATACAATATAAAAATTGCAAATATGGGAAAATTACAAAAAAAATTGTGCAAAATTTTTTTATTTTTAAATAATTTGTTTACAATCTGAACGATTATTTAAAAATTATTTATACAGTTGAAGAAAACTTTTTTTAGCAAAAAACTGGAGATCCACTTAAGTTTTTCGATATAACTTTGGTAAATGTTACTCGATCGGTACGTAATAATATGACCAAATTGAAGGCGAGACTTACTGTTACAGATTTGTGATAATAATATGATTAAGAAAGAACCGGATTACAGAAAAGTGTGCCAGGTAGTGACTTTTTTCGTTCAAGCTAAATGCAAAGCAATATCGTTCAATTGGAGAGTCCTCAAAAGGATTTCCCAGGATATGTTAAAGACTATTGCATTTACCTACGGTCACTTTTTTACATAATGGAATTAACTAAAATATTTATGTATATCTAAACACTTATTGCACGTCCCCTACTTTCATATAACGGCAAATTAAGAAACCGCGAAAAATGTGCTTCTTCAGTGAGTAATGAAACAATTCCGCACCAATTTTCAAGATTGCATAAATGGACTTAAAATGGGCGTTTCTCACCGTAATTGTATTATAATAATGTATGTAAATACTTGTATGCTTGAAACTACTATTCACTTATCAAACGATTCCTAATCTTTTACAATACAAGTTTGACTTCATTCAGCACGATCTTGAAAACTGATCAAATCGACGTGACTAAGTCCATGGTCATTTTAATATTATATAAACATCCGAAAATATTAAAACGTTTGAAATAAATCTCGTCTCACTTTTTGGATTTTTCACTTGCTTGCTGAAGTAATGAAGAATTCAAAATTCATAAGGAAAAATTATAGTTTTTGTAAGTTTTATCTTAATATCTGAAAAACTTGTAGACTTACTGAAAAATGATAAATGATCGTGAGGTACTAAATTTAATAACCCTTAATTTGATATATCGTCCCGTTTATAACAATTACCGCATTCCATAGATATTACAAGCCAAAGTTTCATTTTCAAAATTCGTTCACTTTGATTCAATAGCGCGGGCTAAAGATAAGTTTTAAATTAATCTGTCGTGGCCAATAACAATTGGCTTAGACCTAAGACATCATAATATTACTATTACAATACGGGCAAATGCCTTTTATTTTCCCCCATACAAAATCGACCCAGCCTAATATATACTTAGAAGAAAACAAAAGTAACTATGAATCTGTTTACTATTTTTTAGATACCAGAGTAGATACTTAACTTCCTGAGCAGCTGGTATGATGATAGCATTATTTCTAAATAGCTGAAATAAAGTCGATGTGCATAATTTTTGAATTTTTGAAATTAAATGCTTTAATTTTTATAAATCTGATATTGTACCGTTATCATTATCCCATAGAATAAAAGGGTCAAAAAGTTTGTGATCATTCTTCTTTGTTCAATTAATTATTTTTATACGCTACTCAGAACCCTATGATCTAACAGACTAAATACTAAGATTATCGTTTGCCCCATAGTTTATTAATTAAGGCAACGTTAAAATTAGAGTGACGAGTTGGTGAATTAATTAAATCAACTTCGCCCACTAGCTCTTTATATTCAATATACAGTTACTCTCAAAAAATTTAGTTTTCGGAGATTTTTTCAAATATTCGCAATGTTTTTAAACGCTAAATTTTTTTGTTAATTTCGTAATGGCTTCTACTTTAATAGACATATTTTAAATTCAGGTATGAAACTGTGTACGAAATTTACGAAATTTTCATTAAAATTGCAAACTTTTTAATTAAAAAGTTATAAAAAAATGTAGGTATGCAAATTTTTTCATTTAAAGTATTTTAAGAATTTTTCTTTGCAGATTTTCGCTAAATTTCACACTTACTTTCATACTTGGATTTAAGTTGTGTCTGTTGAAATATGAGCCATATTTTAATACAAAATTATTAAAAAAATAGCATAAAAAACATTGCGAATACATATTTGAAAAAGCAACGTATACTTAATTCTTTGAGTACAAGTATGTAAATATGTTTTATATATTTTGTAACTAAATGTACATATGTACATTAGGGCGAGTAAATTTGTTCTTAAAGAATATAACCTACTTTGTTTCGGCGACTGAAGATTCTACTGGCAATTCAATATCAGCGGATCATTTTTAAAAATATCTGGATCAAAGAGTTTTTGAACAATGCGTTTGAAAATAAATTGTAATTTCATATGTACCTCATTCTCATAAAGCTTTTTAAAACGCCTTTCGTTCGGTGCCCATTTTACCATGCCATATTTACTTTAATTTTAAATTTGTTGTCTTAGATTGGTGACAACGCTATTGAAAAATGTTTAATAATCAACGATTTCTAAGTACTTTTCGTTTCATTCCAAACTTGTAATATTGCATATATCTTATCAATTTAGTACCGTTTTCTTGTGGTGACAAACTTCTAAAAAAAAAAATATTTAGAAATTAAGCTATCTTAAAACATTTCATTTTGACACCCATGTCGTTACATTTCATTTATCTTAGCAAATGAATTGATTTAAATTCTTCAAACAGGGGGCAACCCCCTTTAGGACTATTTTCCAAACTAAGCTTTCTAAACCACTTTATTTTGGCACCCATATTACAACATTTCATTTAACTCATCACGTAAATTGAATTACATTTTTTAAACAGTTGGCAACCTTCTTCAAAAATGTTTTGGAAATGAATCTTTCTTACGCTTCTTAAGTTTGATACCTACTTTGTTATTTATGTCATCAATTGAATTGAATTGAAGCCGATTAAAAAAAGAAATTGGATTTTGATTAACAACTAAAATTAAAAATAAGGAGGCTCGAAATCCATTTTAGAGCTATGACATTTTTTGTTCATAATTGCCAGTAGACTTCGCCAGTCGCCGAAACCAAGTAGAGAACAAATTTGACCCGCCCTAATGTACAAACATATATATGTGCTAGATATGCAGTGGCGCTCACGTAAATAGCACATATTTATTTTTTACAATATAGTAGATTCTTAACATAACCACATAAGTCAAAGTTTAAAAATTTGTGCACAATTCAGGAAAATTTTG